CTAAAACTGCACCTGCTGGGAGTGAGTGGCCTGCTGGGGCTCTCAGTGGTGCAGGAGCCCCCAGAAAATGCCAGGCCAGTTACTACCCCAGTGAAAGGCAGGTCAGGGCACCTTAACCCCTAGCCCCCACCACCGGGTGGGTAACCCCTTGTGTTTGGAGGGTCCAGAGGGCAGACCCTGAGAGAGAGAGAGGGAAGAGCTAGGGACTCAGAGACTGAATGAGAGAGTACCCTCAACAGCACCAGGACCAGGACCAGGACCAGGACCAGAACAGTTAAAAGGGCCAGGGGCCCACCACGAGGGATGCTCAAGAGCCAGGGGCCTGGGGTCCTGACTGGACTAGGGGTGGGCCAGGGCTAGAGGAGCCAAAGGTCCCAGGGGAGGACCACACCTGAGAGTGAAAATAGATTCAGGGAGCTACATAGCCGAATGAAGGTGGGGAGGCTGCCTGAATGGAGGGATCATGCAGGGTTCCTGGTAGAAGGATTCTGGGGCCCATAGTGGGGCCGGTGATTATGGGAACATCGAGATGTCATCTGTGAGGCTTGGGCTGCAGTATAGGGGAGGAATGGAGCCGCAGTTAGCGCCCCCGGCATTGGGTCAGAAAATGGGAGCCTCCCATTTAATTAACACCTCTATTAATTCATTAAGATCAAGGTGTGGCAGGCCAGAAAGTGGGCGGTTAACCCAAGAACAGGGGAGTGGGCCATTGTTGGATCAGCCCCCAGCAGGTCCCCCTGTTACATGCCAGTGGAGGATTCAGGATTGATTGAAAGTGTGGTCAGGGGGTAGAAAGGTAAGAAAGGTTTATTGACTTAACAAAAACATGACTATGTGTAGTATACTAAGACAGATAATGACAGACAATAATAATTTGTGTTGACAACTTATTGGCAATCCCCTCTGATACCTCATGTATGACAAGTTTCTCTTTCCAGAAAGCTCAGTGAAGTCAGGCGTCCCTGATAAGCACTGTCTGAGGTGTACCGGGAAGGACCCTGGTATTCAGTTCTTGGGCTCCTCGAGGTCCACAGGCCCACTGATTCAGGTCAACAGCTAATTAGTAGTTCATTTCACAGAGCTGTATCTAATGATTTCCAGATGTGCCAGCCAATTTATAACTTCTGAGCTATAATGATAACTTATAGCCATTCAGATTCTTTTTACTTTAACTGTCCTTAAACTGACAAATAGCAGTACAAGCCTTGCATTTTTCTGATAAGGTTAATTTTAAATATGCCACAGGGCCTACCATTACTTTTATAAGGCTTTGCTAAATTTACTAGGCCTTACTTTATACAAGTCCTTACTACATCTTAAACATTAATTAGGCTCTTAGCAACAACATATAGCTTAATATCTGAACAAATGACAGAAAAACACTTGGTCTAATCCTCATAGAGCCTTCAACAAGCACCTTTATCACAGATATAATTTTCAGCTGTCACACCAGTGCTTAGAGCAAGGGTGTCTTTGTGTGTCCTTGTATTTGTCACTCTGTCTAAAGATGGTGTTCATGAAAATAGTGCTTCATGAATTTGCTTAGGAGAAGGATGACATTGGAGTTGGCTTCCTCTACTCCTTCCTTCTCAGTGGTGCCACTCCATAGTTTTAGATCCTGTCCAACTGTAGCACTGAAATCACTGAGAAGAATGATTCTGCCTTCCATCAGAATGTGGTAAAGTTTGGGGTAGAATTGTTCTTTGAGATCACTCTCAACATCAAGCATTGGGGCATACGCACAGATGATGGTGATTACTGGTTGCTGCTGAGTTTAAGATGAAGGGTCATAAGATGTTTGTTAATACACACTGGTAGTTCTATAAGTTGAATGACAAGGTGATCCTTGATGGTAAAGTCAAAGCCATGAATACACCTGCTCTGGGATGGTTTCCCCTTCCAAAATAAGGTGTACACACCACCCTATTCCTGCATCTATGCCTCATCCAGTCATCTTGTCTCACTCAAAACTGCAAGGTCAATGTTGTACCTTACTAGTTCTCTGAAGATGATGGAAGTTCTTATTTCTGGTCATTCAGTGTCTTGGTTATCCATCAAGTTGCAAATGTTCCATGTTGCAAAAATCATCATTATCTTCTGATGTTTTCAGCTGCAGAAAGAGTGATCTCTCTGGATGTGGTTACACATCCAGGAATTGTCTAATTTGCTCCTTGCTTTAATGATTGCAGGACTAATGCAACAACAGTTTTAATATTTTTTTGCCTAGTTTGTTGTGTTTTTATACATAATGTATGATATGGCAAATTAAAGCACGTTACAATAAAGTCCTATTTATTTGTACTTTAATCTTACACTGAATATGATAGCCCTTGCCCTCTAGTCTACTAATAAAAAGTCTATTTTCTTTTTAACTGGCAAAAAAGTGTGCTGTTACATGTGATGCCGCTTCACACAATCTCCCCCCTCATCCCCCACTTTTTTAAAAAAAAATCCTGGATCTACTTATGGCTGAAATGGAGGAGAACATATATTTCACCTTTTTACCCCCTAGACTAGTGGCTGGGGGGGTGTGCCAAGGGAATATTTCCTGCTTCCCTGTAAATTGTTCTAAACATCAGCCCACAGGCCAGCATTGTCCATAGTATTCTTCAGCTGTTCTCTTGAAGCTGGCACACACAGCAACCAGGAGGGATGATATGTCGGGAAGATTTATCCCCTAATTTTTCATTATTAACATGGGTCTGAATTAAGACTCATAGATCTGGATCTGTATAGGTAGGGAAAGAATGTGCAAGACATGAGTAGCAGTATCTAGAGGCATCATGCCAGTACAGGAGGATAGGAATAGGCATAAAACCTTGCGCAAATCACACTCAGGGATGGCCTTTGCTACAATTCTTGGAAAGCCCAGTCCTTCAGTTTCAATCTGTTCAGTACAGAAGATCTCCCAGAGCTGTCAATACCCAATGTCTGGCAAATTCAGCACGGTTAGCATCAACTCTTGTGGTCAGAAAGGGCAGGTAACTCTCATTTTGAGGACACATCTGGTGTATAAAAATTCTAGAATGGTCACCACACTATAAAAGCCTGTATATCAGCTTGATCTGTGACATTACAACACGGTTATTCCTAAGCATATTTTTATGTATAAATAACATACCAGATTAAGAGCTAATGAATATCTGATAACAAAAAAATCAAATAAAAGGATTCTAGATGAACTTGTTAATCATCAGTCACCAGTGTTTTGCACTTGGAAGTCAGCCTGGCTTCAGCTGCCTTTTGCTTTCCCCTTCTCACATGGCTCTATGATCAGCTTCTATTCAGTTCTTGAGTTTAACTCACCAGATCCTCCTGTGTTCCCTAACAAAAACTCTGTAGATCAGTCATGCTGCCCTATGCTTCTCCAGTGCTTTTTCATAAACTTGCAAATATTCTAAACCAGAAAATACAGCAGCATTTTGTTTCTTATTCTCAGGTGAGATCTCCAATACAGAAACCTTCAGCAGAAAAACGTGTTGCTTCTGATATGTTTTTTTTCTTTCCTGAAGGCACAGACTGGTGTTGTGTGATGATGGCAACATTAGTGAGAACCATCAGACTTGAGAGGGAGGTAGAGAAAACAATAAAAGAAGAGTTCACTCGCTCTGAATGTATCTCACACCTGGCCCCTGCTTACACTGGTGTGTCTTGAACTATTTCACTTAAACCTAACAAAATCAAGGGGATTTTTTATGTTTACCACAATAATCTGTTGGCACCTAATTAAGCCTGAAGAATCCCTTCATGCAAGTTTACATTGTCCTGTGTCCAGGCTGAGATTGCTGATGCAAGATTTTTTTAAATCTTTGGTTAGTTTATAAGTCTACTAGGTGAAAATCTATCCTGCTTTCTTCTTAATCCTTGGGCGCTTGTCCACATACTTGCCATTTAGTCACTAAAAATGTTCCTGGTTTAAATTATCTTTCTTAGTTTAAGATGGATAAATAGGTAATGTGGACGTGACTTACCATGCAATGGCTTATTATGCTATAACTAGTAAAATGCAGTAGAGGGCATATCAGAACAATTTTACCCTCCTGCCCTTTCAGTACTACTTTATTTCCTGGTGGCATTTTAGGACAAGAAATGCCCAGGAGAGTCTTCCCAAAGGGCTTCACCCACTACTTCCCCTCCATTTTTTTCTAGGTTTTTGGGCATTTGGTGGGTGAACTCTTTCCTTGCAAAAGCACCCTGCCTGCCTCCATTTTACAATTCTGGTTTCTCCTTGCTTTTTTCTGGGTGCTTTTTGCAACAGCAGTTTTGCCTCCCTCTTTTTCTGCATGCTTTTTGCACTGGCACACACTGGGTGTGGGGTACCCTTAGGGCTACACCAAGGTACACAAGCATTACGCTTCTGTCCCTCACTTTTTCTGGGGGGTTGGGGGTTTGGTGGGTGAAATCTTTTTGTGCAAAAACACTCTAGAGGCTGCCTGCCTTCTGCCTTGCTTTGCTTCTCCTCACTTTTTTGGTGCATGTTGCAACAGCCTCCCTCTTTTTCTGCACGCTTTTTGCACTGGACACAGGGTTTGGCACTGGGTCTGGGGCACCGTAGGGCTACAAAAGTGTAGCAAATGGCTGGTGTTCTGTTTTGGTGTTTTTGAGAGGCTATGCTTTTTGTGCACTTTTGCAGCCCATGGTGTTTTCCATGCCAAAGCCAGACTGTCTGGGGTTTGGTTTTTTTAAAACCAGAATGAGGCTAGTGGGGGGATGGGAGGCTGCCCCCTGAGGGTATATAAATTCATGGAGCAAGGATCAGGGGTCCATACACTATATCCACGAACAGAGAATGGGACTCAGCCCAGGAGGATGCTTGTCCCTGGTGGCACAACCAGTTTGAGCAGTTCGACGCTTGCTGCCGATATCTGGTGCAGTGCAGTATATCCACAAACAAGAGACTTTTAAGGCAGATGGGACTCAGCTCAGCGGGATACTTGCCCCTGCTGGCACAACTGTTTCGACTGATTCGACAACAATGCTGGCTGCAGTGCTGGCTGCAGTGTTCTGCAGGGTGAGGCTGCTTTTGTGACACTTGAAACAGGACACCCAAGCAATGCAAAGGTAAGACACTTGGCTGTGCCCTAAGGGAGGGTGGCTTGCATTGTTTACTTACATTTTCATGCAACTAGGGTTCAGTTGCCGTGAATGTTGGTGCAAGCTATTCCACAGTCCTACAGTCATAGGGCAAGGTTTTGAGGTGGGGTGGGGGATAGACCCTTCCCTGCTTCTCATCCCTTGTGTCCTCTCTGCCCACTCTGCTTATATACAGGAGGGGTACCACCATTTCAGAGCTGGAATGACTGCATGGTGGTTTTACAGTACAAAGTCTTATGCTCTTAACTTCCCCCTCCTTCCTATTGCTAGCTCCTGAATGCTGTGTTTCATATGCTGCTCCCACTGTGCACAGCAGGCAGAAGAGAAGAACAGAAGCCTCAGACACTTGCGTGACACTATTCCCAACTCCAGTAAAAATGCTGGCAATGTCACTGCCAAGTGCCTCTTCGCTACTCTTGATATCCTTTTACTGGTGGGGATTCACCATTAACCTCTCTCTGCCACAATGTAGACAAGTCCTCATATTCTGTGAATGCATGAGCAACTAAAGCTTAGTCCAAGCAGCTACTTACTGAGATATGCTTCATTAGCTCATTTCAAGGATCATGTATGTAGTGTTCCTTTTTCTTTGTTTGTCTTTTCATGTAGCCCAGGTAATTATCCCAAGTAATTATGTTTTCCCCATGACTGGTGGCTCCCTCTCAGCACTCCTGGTTGGTGTTGGTCTTCATGCCTCCAGTATCACAAAAGGATTTGAAAAGTGTCCTGTGTTTTTTTTTTTTTCCATACAAGAGGCTGGATGAAAATCTTTTGTGATGCTGGTGGGGTGATACAGGGAGGCACCCAATAATATGAATTCCAAAGCTGGCGACAGCCACCTTGGGGCCAGTATGATCAAAGATAGTGTCCTGTGGCTGAGGGCACTTATCAAGTAGATGATGAGCCATTAGGCTTTTACAAAGGTATTAGGGGAAACACCCTACATAATGTAGCATAAATTAGGTACAGGGCACAACGGAAAAACACATAGCTGCAAGATGCCTTTGTGCTGCCCAATGTGCCAACCTTCATACCAGGCATGGGTGACCACTTGGGGTACTTCTCTACCCACTAAATGGATATGGATAATCCCTCCCTTACCCCCCCCCCAAATTGTAGTGCACACTACTGTGTACATGCTCCAGCACAACCACTTTCCTAGCACAGGACCAGTAGGAATTCCAGTGGGAATGCTGCAGGCACCTCTGCTTCAGGGACAAAGGAGAGTCCAGGACAGTGGTAAGTTGGCAGACGGTGGGGCAGGTTGCAAAAAGACAGTGATTTGGAGTTGAAGTTTTGGAATGGGGTAACTCAATCATATCCCCTGACAGCTCTCCAAAGGCTTGTCAGCAGAGATGCAGCAACGCAGATGAAGGAGAACTGGTATCAATGGGGATACAGATTCATTACTTAGGTATGTAATGGAAAGAATTCTTAAATACAGTTATGCCCTGTGATAAGAAACTCCAAATACTTGGATTCTCATATTTAGCAACCAGAGACTCTACACATTGTACAATACAAATTTCAACTATTTTTGGCAGGAGTGAAACCTGGCAGAGGAGGATGACAACAGAGGGAGAAGAAAATTAATCTTTCTTTCTTTGTAAAAGTTAAATTATGTTATTATATTAATGTATATGCTTGTTAATATTTAAGTTAACATAGGTTATTACAATTTTTTGAATACAATAAGGCCTTCTGTGTGCTTGCTGGAACTGAGGAAAATGCAAAGATGGGTGGAAGTGGACCAGGAAAATAGTGGAATACAGGGGTGGAGGTGTCCCCCCTGCCACACATCCCAACAGGAGCATGCAAGGGGAAAAAAGTTTGGGGTCCAGGTGGAAAGGGGCTGTGGCTGGCTTGGTTAGTTGGCTCGCTGTGAGAAGGGGATTGCGGCACTGTTGTGGGGAGCAAGTAGGAGAAAAAAAGTTGGGGGTCCGGGTGGAAAGAGACTGAGACTGATAAGGATGATGTGTGCAAAAAGGCAGAACATGTTTTTTGGAAATCTCATTTTTCATTAATCTAATATAAGCAATAAAATAATCAGTAAAAAATTGCAAGATTAGCACCTGGAGTCCGGAAAAATCAGTGCAGGATAAATTGGATGAACTCTATGGATTTCCATGTATTTACAAGTGAACCCAAGTGACACCTGGTGGTGCAATAGTTGCAAAGCAGGGAAAATCAGGTTTTCAGGCATAAATCAGATCCACGTTACAAATTTAAAAGGATAAAAACAACCCTCATGGAAGAAATTCTGGAACTAAAAATAAAACATGTTGGAGGTGTTTTAAATTACCATGAAAAAACCTAAAAAAATAAAATCAACTGATAATGTGGATATGCAAACGTGATTTAGCTAGTTTAATGGCAATTTTTGTCATATGGACACAGGAAAAGTGTAACATGGTAACAGGAGAGATGTCATGTGGACAAACACCCTTTGTGTCAATGTTCATCAAAAACATATATCAATAAAATATTTTCAAAGCGACAACATTCCAGAATTTATAGGCATGCCCTGGATAACTTAAAATAACTTCAGGGTTTGTTAAGAATTAGATAAATACTTGCAGTGATAAGAATGATTTTTAAAGCTTATAAATTATTTATAATAATAGAAAACTTCGTATGCATTATTGGTGACTGTTAAAAAACACTAGTCAAAGGTGCCATGTTTGAAATCTTAAAGTTAATTTTCTAAATTATTATTTAGGCATCTACAGCTAAATCTATAAATGGGCTTAAGCACTGCAACATTTACTTTTAGGTAATCTGCTGATTGGTAAATCCTCAGACAATTTGGGAGCCCAGCTTCCTACCTAATGCTTGAGGAGAGTTTGGTGACTGAGGTTCCCTCTACAAGTTATTTCTATTACACAATTACCTAATTAATTGTGTAATAAATTAGGCTAGCTATGCGTGCAAATTAACTATGGCAACTTAGAAAGGCCCAAGCAGCTATAAGGTTATTGCTCAAAAATGTGTAATAACTTTATAGCTGATTTCTATCCAGCTTTAATTCACATGTGTATGCAATGCCCATACAGATGGGAGATAGCAGCAACTGCCATTTCCCAGCTGCAAGGCACCGTGCACACCCCCAGGGCTGGGACATCACAGTGCCACCCCACCATGAACGACGTGTGCCCTGCACAGATGCCAGTGTCAGTGATGGGGGGGAGGGGTGGTGAGTGGCAACTGCCTGCAGGCACCACTGACAGTGTCAGTGGTGCCTTTTTGTAGGGGGTGCACCGCCATGCTCAGGAGGAGTATGTGCACTCACATGTACCCTCTACATGTCACCAATGTACCGCACCGTTACTGGGGTGAGAATCACAAGGGGAGAAGCTGGGACTCTTGTGCCCAGCTGTGTGTGAGACGCATCTGGGACCATGACTCCCATTAGCTGTTGGACTCTTGGCTGCAGCTGTGCATCAGGTGCAGCCAGGACTGACAGACTCATCAGCTGCAAGATTCTCAGCCCCAGCTGCATATGTAGTGCAATCAGGACCAGGTCCCAAGTTAATGTTCTGCTGACCTGCTTTAGAGAGGAAATCCTTAATGATTTCTAATGAGACATTTTAGTGAAACAACTAGTATGGGTAACAAGCAGGAGGAACTCACCCTCCTGCTGGCTGACACCAGCCTGGACATAGTGGGGATAACGGAAACGTGGTGGGACTCAACACATGACTGGGCGGTGAATGTCAAGGGCTATAGGCTGTACAGGAGGGACAGGATAGGAAAGAGAGGTGGGGGCATGGTACTCTATATTAAGGAGGAATACACATCCTTGTCAATTAGCAAGGAGTCAGAGGAGGGGCACTCTGAAGTGCTTTGGGTTAGAGTACAAGGCAGTTGAGGGGAAAGAGACTTAACGGTGGGAGTCTACTACAGAACTCCCAACCAGGGAGAAGAGCTTGATCAGAAATTCTTAGGTCAGCTCACAGAGGCAGTGAAGGCTAAGGATGTGGTAGTCATGGGGGACCTGAACTTCCCGGACATCTGCTGGGAAGAGCAGTCAGCCAGGTCTGAATGCTCACATAGGTTCTTAGAGTGCAGGACCTCTATCTAACCCAGGAGGTGC